AGAATGCAGATCAAGATGGGATGTCTTGCCTCGTTACATTAAGTTTGATTTTTCTCATGGATTTATGATGTCCATTTTTTCTATAAGTAATCAGTGGAAATGTTTATGTACTGCCAGTGTGCTTTTCTTCTTTAGGGTAAACCGCTGTAAGGTAAGGTAATAAGAATTTGGTCACAAGAGAGAAACTGGAACTTTCTTAGAAAGAAGGGGTCATATGGACAACTCTGACTGTAATGTCGTTTTAGCTGTGCACCTGTATTTGGAGAATGTATTCGTTTTCATTTCAAAATGAAACAATGCAAGAAGGACTGAATAAGAAACGAGAGAGCTATGTCATGAGCATTTTTAGTATTTTATCTAGACTGTATCCTACTTGGATAGAGGGGTAACAACATGCTGTGTCAGAGCCTGGTCAGGATGAAGTTGTGGAGGGTCAAGGAGCAGACAACACCAGAAAGGAAGGTTATCTAATTAGTTGAATCAAGGGTGTTCTCCTCTGAACCCTCTATGTATACGTACGTCTTAAGCAAAACAAAAAAACCTTTAGAACCCAGCATCATATTAGATTCAAGATATAAATACTATGTTCACATTTCAGTAAGCAATTACTTTAAAATTTTAAAGAAATTAATTATTTAAGGTTGTTGTTTAAGACCTGAGAATTTTGAAAAGCACGACAAGGCTCAGACGTTGTAAGAGCCTGAGGGCAAGGAAAGTTGTCATTGCGTATGAGTTTTCATCATATCTTAGCACTTTCTTAGTCTCACCCTTTTAGCCAAGTGAAGCAGACAGACATTAAATATTTCCATACATTTAGCAGCATCAATTCACATTAACTGTTGGATTTCTCATTGTGAAGTACACCATAATATACCTTTTTATCCGTTTGTATGTAAAACCTCATTGCAGCTTAAATTTCAGAAAGACTACAAAAAGGTATTTTATTAATCGGCTTGTCATTCTAAAATCTGCTCTCACTTGACTGTAAAACTAGTTTAAAACACATTTTAGAACTGCAGCAGAAAAACACTCAGAAGAAGGCATTTAAATGTCTGACTTAAAAGCAATATGACATCAACCATGGTTGGCAGGTGTCAGCAATTTTTACATTCCCTTTTTAAAGAGCTACTCATGTCATTGCCTGAATAATTTTTCAGACACTGATCTGGACTAGACGAAACAAAAACCATTGTCAATATATCAGTAAACACATTAGGACATGTGTGGGGCTCCATTTGTATTAGTCTTTTTCATTTTTTGTATGGCTTTGTCACTTTTCAACAGGACATTTGACCAAGTATTATAAATTAATAAATTATTATATAGAATAACAAAATTCATTTGGTTTTCCTAATGGGATGTATGGATCAATTTAAGCTTAAATTGAGTAGTGCATTAAAAGTCTGTGCAGATAAGTTTCTCTCTGTTTGTATTGTACTGTATATTCATGCATGCACACATAGCAGGTCCTGTATTCAAAACATGTGGGTACTTAAAATCCTGCAGGATATAGGATTTCCATATGAATATAGGGGTCAAAAAAATAATATGATTATATTGGGTTAGATGACCTTTACCAGGATAAACGGACAGATGTGAGGAGCAGATTCATTCATAGTTACATGTCATTTCATGCTCTTCAAATTTAATCTCATGTTATTTCAAATGTTTGGCATTTCCCGGAAAAAAAAACAAAAACAAATTCTAATGTATGGCAATTGACAATGGTGTAAGAAGGTATATTAACACAAATCAAGCATGGTTTTTATTGACCTTCAGTTAGAACCGTGCGACTACCAAAGAAAGACTTTAAAAATGAATGGCAAACACTGTACCTTAAAATATTTCTGGATGCTTCACAGAACAAAGTCCACCTGCAGTCATTTTTACATTCCTATGCACAAGAAAATGAAAACAAACAACCCAAATGAAACGAGTCCTCTGCCAGTTACTTAATAAGTGTTTTAATTAATCATCCACAGCAGGATGGCATGAAGATTTACCCACTGCTTGAACCAAGGGACCAGAGCTGCGGTGCAGCAGTGATTCCCGGTGTGCCATCATACGGCAACAAACATGTGCCATTACATTTAAAAGTACAACACAAAACATGCACAACAAAGTATATCATGAACAAATGTACAGTATGCTGCATGTAAAACAAATCCTGTGCACGTTACTAATGTATAGTAAGCAGCCACCTGATAATGGAAAGATGTAGAAACCAAAGCATACATCAGATATTGCTTCAAAACATACATTTTCAGTTGTGCAATTCTGCAGCAACCAAAACAATACCATGAATATCTTTAAAAAAAGAAGAATAAAGTATTTCTTTTGAACCTGCAATATTCCTCAAGAGAACATTCTTCCCAGATTCCCTGAGCTCAAAAGGAATAAAAAAAGAGAAGGAAAGGTATGAGAGAGGAAATGTAGTAGAAGCTACCGAGAAACAAGAACACATTCAGTACCCTCTGATTATTAATGATTCCAGAAAATGATTTAGCAAACCAACTGAATAAAGATCTCCCGAAATACTTTGGGGTCAGTCAGGTCTAAAGCCCTAAACAGTACATACCGTTTAAACATTTCTCTTAATAGACATTTGCACTATGACAAAATGATGTATCTGCCTAACATGATTGGTTGAAGCAAATTAGAATAGAGAATAAAAGTTTCAAAACGATACAGTACCTTCTCTATTCCTTAGAGCATCAGTGATACAGGGCTGCACGCAACCACAAAAATAAGTTTGAACGTAACTGCCTTTCTCCTCAAACAAAAACTGTTAATTAGTTGTTCAAAATAAAGCAAAAACCTATGATAAATATTTTTTTTAAAAACAAGTAACGATCAACAATTAGAACCAATAATTTTACCTGCACATGTTTGTTCAATTGTTTTGGATATGACCTGCTTCTGTGAAGGTTGAGTATTATTTTTCGTCATGATAAGAACTCTTTGTATGGTTACAAGTTGATAAGGGTTTCAGCTGGACATACAGGGTCGGATATCTTTACATCTGCAGAAGACGTTTTTCCATAACCCAACATCTCAAAGGCATTCATGTTATACATTTCAGGAAACAGGACATTAAAAAAGCTTACAGACCAAGGCTTGTACAGCAGAAATCAAAAGCTTTATCCTGTTTGAGATATGAAGAACATAAGAGAGATTCCAAATAAGAGGATGTCATTCATTCCAGCTTTCTTGTCAAGAAATGTGTGGAAAATAAAATATCCACATTTCATCCAGATGTAGCCTCTCTGGACAACAGGGGCTATATGACTGGATGCTTGATTCCGGCATCCACAATGTCTTGAGTAAAGAGCTACTTTACTGAACATCTTATTTTCAGCCAGGAAGCACTTCCTCAGAATGTCCACTTGTGACTGTTTGTCCTTATTTTATTTTGGAATGATGATGACAGTACCCCCTGAGACTTTTTAATACAAAAATGAACATTCCTTGTAGCTTGGGTCAGAAACAAAGGCAGTCCTATACTTTTAACTTCAGTGCCTGCTACCGCAAAATATTTTTAATGTTTTTTTTTACTTGGATCGTCAACTTAAAATTCGAATTCTGTGAAAGTACAGCAGTTTTGAATCTCACACAGGGTCCCAATGCAATGTTTTCATTTCTTGAATCTCCTAACTGGAAAACAGCACAGTTAATGAAAACAACCACATTTAAATATGTTCAACACCTCTCTCATATAGTCATGGTACTGTACTGTGTGTCTCACCGTACTGTATGTTCTGCAGCTGTCAGTAGGTCAGCTGTATGAGACCTTTTGTTTATTTTATCATGAAGAAATGTTCTCATCAAATGGGTCTTAAAACAAATTAATACATTATAAATACAAATCCGAAATAATCTGCACATCTATCATCAGTGCGAATTTCCAAAGTTTTGTTTATCTTCCCCACTACTGAAAACCTTTTATTTTCTTTTACTCGTTCTCTTGCCCTTGGAATGTTAGTGGTTGCACAGATTTGAATCACCTCAACATTAAATTTGCTAATGCGACCAGAGTACGTTTCTAATCTGTCTTGAGTTGATATACTATGCTGGTGTAAAAAAAAAAAAGCAACGGACAGCGCCACCTACAGGTCTACCAGTACCTCTTCTATCCCACTGACTCTTTGAACCCAGGCCCAGCATAATAGATGAGAAGGCTGCTGCAACATCGTGCTAAAACCTGACAAAGTCAACAACAAAGTCAGTGTTGGGATTTTATTAAGAACTTTGAATCATTCAAATTTTAATTAAAAATTAGAGAGATAAGGATGTAACGCCTACGCACGTTTTAAAATATTTTACCTAGACTAGACCTGACATTAAAATAAATGTCTAAGGTTTGCTTCAAAAGACAAGGAGCAGATCATTTTGTTTATTTACGGTGGGCATTTCTACAAATTATTCATATTCCAGTTTACACCCTGATCGTCACTAATGTTTAAGAGGTAATGCTACAGTATGTTTTAACATTTACAAGTCAAGACTAAACTTCAAAACAGTCTAAACAGATTTCAACAGTATACAGTACAGCTACTGCCAATAGGCAACACACGTGAACTGTTAGAACTGTGAACAATACCTCCATAAAAACATTTAATTCGTCAGATACAATATTTATTGAAAATGACCTTTCATACATGTAAAATTCATTTTTCTCTTTTCTCTGAAAAACAAGAACGCCAGCGCTTAACGTGAGCATCCTAGCAAAGTTTGCTTAAACTCAAATAACAGCTTGCTGCAATTAAATACAATGTAGCGTACCGTACTGTGTAGTGTGTTACAATTTAGCCTTTGTGCTCTGTTCAAGCCTGGCATTTTTTATAGGCAGAAGCAGTCGTCTTTGATAAACGTCTTTGTAAAAGAGCGTAGAGCATTTCACTCACAGAAACTTCAGTATTAGCCAACGACCCGAAACGATGTGGGCTTGGAAGCAGACGGATAAGAGAACAGTTATGTACTGTATGTGCAACCTCGCCTACCTGCTCCCCAGCTTCTGGCGACTTCATCAGGTGTTTTTCTTTGTAAAGGGACCACAGACCGATGTTAGGCAGGAAAATCAAAGCCACCATGAAAAGAAAGGTCATCTGCAGAACTCTCTTCTGCCTCCGCTTCATCGCGAAAACACGGCGCTGGAACGAATTCCCAGCTTTCGCCCCGTGTGTGAAGCCAGTTCTTAGCAGGTGATATTCCTTCTGAAGTCTAGGACTATCCGACAAACCACTGCCCCCGAGAGCTACTGGAAAACTTTCACCTGGTAACACAAAACCACATTCAACACATATTAATTCCTCATCTTTTCAGACATTCGCCAATACTTTCGAACACTGCACAGATACGGTACCACGCCGACGTAAAGGAATTTGAGAAACAACGAACGAGTGAAAACTACACTTTTTATCCGTAGAATTATCAAATTAAGGTAGTGTAGGATGATATAGCAGGAAATAGACCACTACAAGTTTTTTCACTTAATAAATTAAGATACTGCAATTTGAATGCTAAGCTAAAACGTATATGTATTAAGAAACAATGCTCCTCTTTAATTGCAATATTTCTGCACTTGCTATAGATTGCATTAATGATACTGTTTCAATTATCTCGAATGACAGTACACTATATACAGTATGAATGAATCAACAGATAGGGGCAAGCAATGCGTTTATACTAAGCCAGACAACACATGCAGAACGACTTACTATTAAACCAGATTTGCATGTTGTAACATCAAGCGCTGGTGTTTTAGATGTCTCTCATTATTGTTTCCCATTCAGCCCTCTTGGGTCTTTCAGTTTCCAGAAAGCACAAAAAAGGAGAAAAAACCCAGCGCAAAGCTATCTCCCTTTTTGGTACAAACGCACATCAAGGAAATAGAGTTCGATTTGTGCTCTTTATAAACGATGCAGGAGACCCCCCCTACGAACTGTATTTCTTGCAAAGAGGGAAATAGCATCTTCTCTCCTCCTCGCCTTCCTTTCTGAAAAACCTCACAGTTCAGATCTTGCGGTTGTGAACCACGTGTATCAGACATTAGCATGAAAACATCCTGAAAGCTCAGTGATCCCATAAAAAGCCGAGGTGTGGGACAAGCGTTAAAATCACATACTGTACATACTGTAGCCGTGATTCACACCAGCTCAGAAGCGCTGAAGATCAGCACGTCGTGTGAGTTCCACAGCTCAGCAGTGAGCGAAGAAGAGCATCTGGTCGAGTGTTGCATTTAGGTTTACAAGTTGTATTTGTAAAGACTGCGTACAGAAAGGTGCTAAGTTACAGCATACCAGAAAGATGCGGTACTGTTTGCGAGGGGTACATTGATAGGCGCTCCAAATGACAAGTGGTGTAATGCTTTATTGTTTATATACTGTACAGTACATGTGTGGACTTTGTCAGGCAAAATTAATGTTGGCCATAAGCTACTAGACAATCGGTAAGTAATGTACAGACACAATGAACAGAAGAGCCGTTTAGCATTTCACCTGAATTACTATTTTTAGGCATAGATTTCACACAACAATATACACTAACACGGTATATTATTAGAGGCAGAGTAGGTAGAGCACAGTACATGCAATCGGTTGCATCCCTTGACGAAGGCTAGTGAAGCGTAATTGTTTGAAGTGGTCTGTTGGTAAACCACAACTATCATTTTATCAGTAAATTGCAAATGCAGTAGCGGCGGAAAACAAATGTTTTATCAGATGCTTAAGAGCCCGAAGTCAGAACAAACAGTCCAACTATCCGTTTTTGAAACTGCAATCATCCATTATTACGTTTGGAACATTTTATTCAAAAGAAATCCACACAGTAATAATCCATTTGTATGGCTGTCTGTATCTTTTATTGTTGATATGCGGTACTTACTGTAGAGGCGTCTATTTTTGTTATTCAGTTAACTTTTTAAATGCTGGACGTTTTTAAACTTTTGTGTCTATTACATTAATTAAAAGATATGTGAATCTCTCGACGGAGAATAATATTACCGATGCAAGTCATTTTTGCAAAGAAAAAGCGCTATCCGTTGTTCGTTATACAGTACAATTTTCAAGCAATACAGAAATCTCTAATGACAAAGAAAAGTTTAAGGTATTTCGTAACATTAGAAAGAAAGAATCACAGATGTCTTTCCTGACTTAATTTAAGTGCTTCCGTAATGTTGGTGTTGAATGATTTTCTTTATCGGTCTTTCCAGTAAAAACCCACACTTATTCTTGAATGTGAATGTATCGTGTACTCCAAAGTTAGAGGTTATTTTAAAATGTGAATATTGTTTTCTTATTTCTTATTCTGTATTCATATGTAAAGTCCACTGAAATTTGGAATATCTGATAGAATTTATTTGATTGAAATTAGATATGCAGAGTAGTTTTTTTTCATTTAATAAAGATGGTTAGCTCTGCTGTTTCCCTGTTCTTTGATTATTAGATCTATTCCAGACCTATCGGTGTGGAGTCTGAATGTTCTTCAGTTTTCTTCCTTGGGGACTCCGGTTACCTCCAAAGGACATTCTGGAACATGGATTCCTAACTCAGGTCCTCTGGGTTCAACCAGAAAAGGCTCCCTTTAACACATTCTATCAGGTGCTGAGCTGTTTACAAGGTCGGGAATTAATAACTGCAGAAACCCTGCTGGATTCCATACCCCAAGGAGCAAAGATGTCAAATCTCGTGGGATAAGTTTCATTGGATAGTCTAGATCTACAACTGTACCTCATTAATCCACTCGTCAACGAGCGATTCCTTCCTGCCCAGCTATTGGATCTGATTATGAGCTGCTTCTGCTATAGCACTAGATGGATGCAAGCGCTGTATTTAATTGACAAATACTGTATTTAATGAACTCCTGCGATGGGAGGCAAAATGCCAGTGAAAGTGAGATTAGGATGTGGGTGCACAGGAAGAAATGTGAGAAGAATGTGACAATACAGAACACAGAACACATGAGGGCAGAGTCAAAGCCCTAATTGTTTTTGGTGATATTCGTTGCAAATTCCTGCCGTATGTATTTTGTTTCCTCTAAAAATGTTAACTTTGGTTTAAAAAAAGTCAGAATTGTGAAGGGCACCTAAGTGGCTCAACCAGAAAAGGTACTCGGGCCACACAGCTTAGGTCATTGTCCTGTCCTGCCTGTTAGCAGCTTGAACACAGTTCCCCAAGTAATGGGCACGTGTTACCGGAGTTGGATGAGTTTTAGCAAGCCAGAACACCTCATGCTTATAGCTGAGCTGCCACTTGTAGACCTTGAGGTGCTCTCAGTGCAAGAGAAAGTGCTCACCTGTGTGGCATTGTGGAGGCCAGAGCACATTGAACGCATGAATGACACTTATCACTGTGCAAGGCAGAGGAGTACTGTACAGTATGTGCCAAGATGTGCCTCATCCTTCCCTAGTGGTGCAGGGACTGCAGCTGTAAAGCAAAAAGAAGTAACAATCCCTTGGGCGTAAAATAAGAAAAATCATACTGACATAAAAGCAGCACTAAGGTTACTGTTTGGATTTATGAAAACATGGATCCATGAGACAGGACAATCAGTACTGATATTTTATTTTCCTGAACTTGAGATATATATTGTGGGGGAACAAGGAACAAATAAAGGTTTATGGCATGCTGAAAAGAGCTGAAAAGAGAAGAAAAGAAAGTTTCGGCTGTGGAACCATCTTCGGGTGACTCCTATCGTAGACAACACTCCCCTTTGCTTTATGGTTGTTATGGTTTTCTGTGGTACTCATCTTTTAACAATGCAATATTCTGAAGTAAATATTTATAAATAAACAGTACAGTTTTTAAAATTAAAGATTAAAACATTGCAAAATGTTACACTTATCCTTGTTATGCATTAAGTTAAAACAGCAGTAGATTTAGAGTTTTATCATAATTTTCTTATTGCTTGAGCTAGAAAATTCTAAAATTCATTAATTTTCCTTACACCTCTTATTGAGAATGTGTTTAAAAAAGTCTCTGTAACCTGCAGATGTGGCAGAGTAATGGGTGTAGAAATGTGACATTTTAACTACCTAGTCATCGAGATCATCCTGATCTGATTGTGCTGTGTTTTAAGATCAATTATGTAGTAGGGCTCAGGTGAGCACCACTAATATGAATAATGAACATTTGCAGACTTTTATGTTTTTATAATTGTTAATTCTTTATTACAGTAACTATTAGTAGTACTGCTGAAACGAACTGTCTTTCTAATGTGACATTGTAGGCTTTCTTTTTTGCATTTAAGTGAAAAGCTTTGGTACTGGTCAGTACCTGGATGGGAGACCTCCTGTGTGGGTCCTAATGCCCTAGTATAGTGATGGGGACACTATACAGTAAAATGGCGCCGTCCTTCGGATGAGACATAGAAACCAAGATCCTGACTCTCTGTGGTCATTAAAAATCCCAGGGGATTTCTCAAAAAGAGTAGGGGTGTAACATCCTGGCCAAATTTTCCCCTGGCCTTTACCAATCATGGCCTCCCAATAATCCCCATTTCTGAACTAGCTTCTCCACTCTGTTCTCCTCCCCACTGATAGCTGGTGTGTGGGGAGCGTTCTGGCGCACTATGGCTGCTGTTGCATCCTCGAGGTGGGGCTGCACATTGGTGGTGGTGGAGGGGATCCCCATTACCTGTAAAGCGCTTTGAGTGGTGTGTCCAGAAAAGCGCTATATAAGTGTAAACAATTCTTCTTATTCTTAAAAGTTTAAAAAAATATTCTGTCTTTATTCCATAGATATTATATTTGGATTACAGCTATACGGCACGCTAGTGCAATGGTTAGTGGTTGAGGCAGTGATTGCTGCCTTGCAACACTGGGGCACTGGGTTGTTTCCTGCATGAGCTTTTAATGCTCCGGTGCTCCGGTTTCCTGCTACAGTCCCAAGACAATCAGTGGGGTTAGTTGGTCTTTGGTTGGTCCTGGGGTGAGTGTTTCTGCATGTTCCCCGAGATGGATTGGTGTCCTACCTTGTGCACTTTGCTTGCCATGTTGGATTACAACTATATTTTTTCTATGTCAGGTGTTCCTGTTTATATCCCATGTTCTGTTTCAAATGTGCTGAATCTACAGTATCACGTTGTAGGTGCTATTCATGATTACTGGCATTTGCTTCTATTTTAAGTTTTAATTTGTTAGGTTAACGAATAAAAGCTTGTAAATCAGCCAGCTGAAAGGAAACATGAAACATATCTGTGTTGCGCCTAGTGTACAATTTCACCTGTGGCATCCACAATATTTTGCATATACTGTATAATTCTCTTCCCTTTTACAGCTTTGATACATCTTTTCAAGTTACGCTTAATTAGTTATGTTAAATTACTAGAACAGTTAAATATCTTGACATGCAATCTAATCAGATTGAATACCGTAATTTAATAGAGTAGACCAGTGTGCAACAGTTTCGCAAGTCTAAAAAACAGAAAGTAAAGAACAGCTGTGTTGTACACTTTCACTCAAACATTCAGGATGGACAACAACTGATTTACAAAGTTTAGCTGTGAATCTAGAACAGGAGAACATATCCTAACCCCTCTGTGCCCCTAAAAAAGAAAAAACAAACAAAATATTTAAATCTCTTTTTATAATGTGGTGTGTGCCCCAGGTGGTTTAATGACTGATTGACAAGCCAGTCTGAAAATGGCATTTCTACCACTCGTGCTGCTCCAAATCAGCCAATTACTGTACTGTAAATGAACCCAGACAGTCACCACACAAAACTATGAGGCACAATAAAGTATACAGTTTCTCCTGCTGCCCTTTTTCACCCACAGGAAATACACCCAAATGAATATCGCTGTAATACACAGATGTTGTACCTGTCACATTAACTAAAAGTTGCACTGTAAAGTGCATATGCCTGAAAATTATAACAATGCTAAAAATGACCGCACCAGAGTTAGGATACCTCATGAAATTAGTTTAAAGCATGACTTACAGATTTTCCAACAGTCGATATAAAATGTAAACATAGTTTATAGGTAAGATATAAATAATCACCCACTTTACAGTATGTATCATTTTACAGTGATACAGCAGTATTAATGACACATCAAGGTTTTAAAAATATTATACATTTTACATTTAATGCATCAAGGAATCATGCACCATCTGAAGATACTGTAGTAAAAATGTATGGACTTCCC